ACATTTTTCTGTGGAGTCATGTTTAACTCAGAATCCAATTTGACCCCAAGGCTAGTGACATAGGATTTGAGATTAGAAGGGAAGGATGTGAGATAAATGGTTTTGGTGTTCTTGTTCTTAGCGGGGGAAAGGACTGCGTTGGTTTTATCGTTTCAACAAAGGATGTTGAAGGAAAACCATTTCTTGACATCTGAAAGACAATCCAGGAATGACTGAAAAGAATTGTGAGGGTTTAGAGCCCGATAGACCTGGCAGTTGTCAGCTAACCTCTGTGATCGCGGTGGCACATATGGATTGATGATATCAGGCAGATAGGAAGGGGCTTGGATTTGAAGAGTTTTACAAATAAACACAAGGACCTTGAATGTGACACAGAAGAGCACTGAAGAGTACTAGTTGGTGTAAAATTTGGCAAATATGTTGCTCAGGAGGATTCAAATGCTGGACTTCTTTGGTTTCTTGAAGAAGTTTTGCGTCTCATCCGCGGGTATGGATATATTTTTATCTTTAGAAGTGGGGGACACAACTGGCATGAGGACCGAGGGAAGGGGGGATCTTTACAGTAAGTATACAAAAAATATGTATAAAAATACAGCCTATAGAGGCTCTTTTATGCAATGTCAGGAATGCAGAACTGTCAAGTACACAGGTGACAGGAACAGCCAATCACACGTTGGCAAGTATCAGCAGAGCCAATAGATGAGCCTATGGACGGTTCTAATGGGAAACAGGCTTCAATACAAGCAGTTGTGTTTTGCTTGGTTCTAGTGCTCAACCAGTGTCTATTTAATATAGAGGAATATTGTTTTTGGATGGTAAAAAGTGGAGTGGACTGAAATTTACTTTGGAAAAAGTGGGGGGGACATGTCTGTCCACCTCCCCCCGACAACTTGTAATGATCCGCCCCGGCCTCCCTGACTGTGTCTCTCCTGCCCTGATAAGCCTTATTGTTCTCACCTGTCCCTGATTACTCTGCCCATGTGTTCCTGATTCCCTTGTGTATTTATACCTCCCTCCTGGTTGTTGTCTTTGTCGGTTCATTGTAGTTTGTGCATGTTCGTTCATCCTGTTGCTCCCGTCCTACAATAAACATCTTTTTATTTTTTACATCCGTCTGCCTGATCTTCTACCTCCTGGAACCCACCACCACACATGGTCTGCCACCTCCACCCGCAGAACATGACAGAATGAACCGACAAAGACAACAACCAGGAGGGAGGTATAAATACACAAGGGAATCAGGAACACATGGGCAGAGTAATCAGGGACAGGTGAGAACAATAAGGCTAATCAGGGCAGGAGAGACACAGTCAGGGAGGCTGGGGCGGATCATGACACAACTACGTCCATGCCCTAGGAGCTTTGTCAATTTTGACTGGAATATGGGAGGGTCAAGCTTATAAACCATAGCTGTCTATTGTTATTTACAGAGCAGAAACTACTCTGAATACCCCTCCTCTCTACCCCTGATGAGTCATTAGCCTTCATAAGCTTGACTCTCCCATTTTCCAGTCAGAACTGATAAAGCTCTTCAGATGAAAAGTGACATGTCTTCCAGAAACTCATAAAGTCCAGTTGCTTTCATTTGAACCCTTTTGGATTACCGTGACCTGGATGACCCAGAAACTTAACCAGCATTTTGGTCAGGAGGAGGAATGTAGAGCGATAATAATAAAGGGCCTAGAATCGAGTCTTGTGGCGCCCCCCAGAGAAGAAGCAGTGAGGGAGAGGAGCACTCTAAATCTTCCCTGAGACAAGACCAGAACTTATCAGGGCCCTTTGATCCCAGCCTCTGTCTCAAGTCTTTTGGAGAGAATATTGTCATCAACTATGTCAAAGTTGTTTAAATTCAACAGTTACTAGTGTGGCGTAATTTAAGATCGGAAATAAATCATTACAGGAATTAACATTCATGTTTACCCATCATTCATTCCTATAGAGTGTTGGACACATTATTAAAATACTTTGGATTTAAACATATTGTCAATCCAACACAACATGATGATATAAAACGTATAAAATTATAAAGTCATTTTATGAGCCAGGAAAGATGCATTTTATCCAAAGAATTTGATAAAGTGTTTTGCATCTTCTGCAGCGTCTTGACGTCTTGCGATGTACCACAGGATAAGTTAAGATTATTGGGTCAAGTTCATAGATGCTCATATCGGTACCACGAGCCAGTATATGGCCTGTAAGTTCAAAGTGAACTTCTGGTCATTTTGATGATCTACGTTGGTACATTACAAATCCGCCTCTTCCAGGGACATGGGGTCACGACAGCAGACCACGAGGCGCTGGACAACCCTGAGGAGGCCCTGAGGACTCAGCAGAGGAAGACAAAAGTTAGTTCCAAGGCACCAGATGCAGCAGGAGCGAGGAAAACCAAAGGTTGAGAACTACGAGTAGGACATGAGAGCCTGAATCTGTGGCCACCAGCATGTCGTTGAAGACACAAATGCAGGCAGATTCTGTGCTGTGCTTACGCCTGAAACCAGGTTGAAAAGGATCTCTAGGAGGCAGTGTTCCCTGAGATGATGTAGAAGGTGATTGTGGACCTTCTCTAGGATTTTATTTTTTACATAAAAGGGAGTTTCAAAATGGGACGGAACTTAGCAAGATTATTATTTGGGTCTAGACCTTTTTTTTATTATGGATTAACAACTGCATGTTTAAAAGCTGAAAGAAAAGCACCAGAGGATAGGCTGGGATCGATGATGTCCACCATGAGATGGCCCACCACAGGGAGAGCCCCGATCAGCAATTTCCGTGGGAGGGAGTCCTCAGGTGAGTCAGAGGGCTTCATCGTTGAGAGATTATTGTGAAGGTCATCAAGAGAAATGGGGACAAAAGATGAAAAAGGCCGAGTCCTTGTTTTCTTAAATTTCTTATTTTAGTCAGAAAGTAATCCTGATACTGAACACAAATGTCTGCTGACGGTTGGGAGTGTGAGGCGGACTCAGAGGGACAGCACTGGTGCTATGTAGCGTGCGTTGCATTTTCACTAAAAGTCCCCTAGAGGTCAGAAGAGGTCACCATCAGAGACCAAAGTGTCATGTTTTCTACTTTTATTATACAGTAATCAAAATAACTTTGATAATAACGAAGAGAAGCTAAGAGCAAAAGGGTTCTCCTGTGAAAGTACAAGAGTCTAATTCTTGTTTGATCACTCAAATATGACACCACTGTGTTTATTCTAGACAGATCCTGGACTGTGTTTACACACACACACACACACACACACACACACACACACACACACACACACACACACACACACACACACACACACACACACACACACACACACACACACACACACACACACACACACACACACACACACACCACTTGTTGGTCCAGGACGTCCGTGCCACACACCCCAGAGCCTTCATCAGCTCTCCTGCCCCACGCCCAAAAAACAACAGGATCTTTGATGAATGTGTAACCGTGCACACACACCTTTCTCAAATATACATTCCTCCACAGCTCGGATTAAAGGAGCTGCAGGTCGGCTCTCGGAGAGAAGAGACACTTGAGAAGGGTCGGGAGCTCCAAGCTGAGGCTTCAGAGGACCACGGTGCGTTTGGAGAAAGGAGGCCGGACGACAGTGACTGATCTATTCATCAGAACTTTATTTATAAAGTTCAACTTTACGACCTGGACACCATCCACTGAACTTTTTTTGACTTTTTGAACCAAAAATAGACTGTTGAAAAATGTTTTTATAATTCAGGTGAGAAATGAAAAACGAGGTCGTGACATTGACTTTGGCGGATCTCTGATGGATTTTATTGGATTTTTAGCAAACTGGATGATCTCCACATGGGCTCCTCTTCCTGGTGTTCCTCACCACTCCATCAACAGATGCTCTCTGGTTTCTGAGGCTTGTTTTAAGTTGCCTGCGGCTTGTACTTGGACACAGGCAGCTAAAGCAAGTCTCGGACACCAGAAACGTGCCAACAAATTCTGTTAGAGATTGTCACCATCTAAAAATGTTGTTTTAGTTGAGATTTTGTAAATATTATGTATGTTTCTGATGTTTTATTGTCTCGTTTGAAGTCGTTTGTGCATGCCTCGGATATCCAAGTTCAGTTTAGTCAACTCAGGAGGTCAGAAGCTACGTTTATGTTTTGATCTCATTAGAATACGTTCTGTTTTTTGTTTTAGTAGAGATCTAAGTTTATTTCATCATGTCTCTTGAATCATTAAAGCTGTGAAACAAGAAGAGGAAATGATGTAAATCACAATAACTGAGTGTGAATTCTCAAAATTGACTGTCAGGATGTTTTCCTTTTTCCAGCACGTGAAATATCAACGTTTGATTTTGCATTTTTGCTCTCAGCATACCTGGAATGTAAGAATAACAGTTGAGAGGTCACAAAAGGATAATCAGAATGCTGTTTTTATTATTTTATGTCTTCATGCCACAATAAAATCGTAGAAATCTTGTGTTTATCTCTTTCTAAAACCAAATACTTGACCTCTAAAGTCATGTTCTGATCCAGTTTTTGCAAAATTGAAGATAAAAAGATGATAAAACACACTGGAGTTGAAGAATACCGTCCACACACACACCACATTCAATTCAAAGATACTTTATTAATCCCAGAGAGAAATTTATCATGTTGTCCTGAGGAGCCATGGTTTTACAGCTATGACCTCCTTACCTCCCAGATTGAGGCCATATAACCTTAAACCCACACACGGAGCTTTAAGGGATGCAATGTTCCTGTTTTCTCGCGCGCACTGGAGCGTGTTTTTCAAGGTAAATATTCTTTCGTCCAACATCGAGCAGCTCTTTGTTGTTTGCAGAGAGGTAAAGAGGCGGAAAAGTGAGGAGGATCTGAACTGGTTTCCATGTCAAACACTTCAATTCACCATAGAAACTCAGATCTTAACGCGGAAACTTTATTAAACTGTGATGGCGGATTGATAAGGGCCGAATTTCTATCGGCCTCTTTTTATTGTGGGCACCAGGCGGGCTGACAGAGGTAAATTGCTCTTTTAATTAAAGCAATGCACCAGGGGAAATTGCTGTCTGAATATTGTCTCAGAGATGGGGGCCACTGACAGTTGCCTGGAAACTTCAATCTGCCCACCCGCATTTATTCCAGATCACAGTTATGAGATAAAGTTTAATAAAAATCTTTTTTCCTGCGCCAGCACCGAAATGAAACCCAAGCCTTTGTGAGGGTCTGAACACAATGAGAAACAGCTGCGGAGGAAACCTCATGTTCAACATGTATCTCTCAGGTTCGTCGTTTATGAGGAATTAGTGAAACTGCCCTTTATGGCTGAATTTCGCTGCGTCTCCAGCGGCTGATCAGGCTCCGGCTCCCGGGAAGAGGACCGCTGAGTCTTTTTCAATCTGAAAGCCCGTCTGCTCTTTTGTCGGAAATCGGAAATCCTTTTTCCTGGACACGTTTCCTGGCTTCTCGCAGAAAGGACCGCGAGGAGGACACGCTGCACGCACTGGACTCGGAGAGCACCACGAGCCAGGATTGATTTCAGTCCACTTCGGAATTTTGAAATTTAACTTTCGGCGCAATTTTATGAATTAGTTTTGCTTATAATATATAATTCTAATTGGGAGTAGTTTATAATGAGATTTTAAAAAACTTACATAAAACGTTACAGTTTTTTATGCATTCTCCAGTTTTATCGAAATTTATCGAATAATTGGATTTTTAGGTGACAAAACCAAAGTTAAAATGCATCCATGCCTTTATTTAACAGTGTATTTGAAATAACGCAAATAAAATAACCTCTGTTGACTTTTTTTGTTTTTATTTCAGATCCAACAGAAAATCTGTTGAAAGACAGTAAAGGAACATCCTGGGGTCCAATAAATACAGGAGTGCAAAAAGGTAAGGGGACAAACGATTAGCCAGAGGCACTCACACCTTGATCAGTAATTTATCAATACTCTTATTTTTTAAAGGAATTACCTCTTAATTGTAAAATATTAGTTGAAAAACATTCTGAAAATAAAGAATTGATGGAAATGCAAAAAATTAAATACAGAACGTTTAAAGCAATCTGTAAATAAAGCCGCATTTAACGTTTTACGCACAATTGATCGAATTTTACGCGCTGATGTTTCCCGAAAGAATATTCTAGCCTAATTTCCTAAACTAGTTTCTTTTTGAATTTATTTATTTTTAGAATTACCTCCTCATTTTTAACTATATCTAATGTTTTGGGCCTCGCTTCTGAAATTGGAATTCCTTTTTTCCTCCTTCAACGCGCTCTAGAGATTTTCATTTAAGCAGAGAAACAGAAAAAATAGAACAGAAAACATTAAAAATATTATTTATCAATATATACTTCCATACTTATCAAAATAACGTATTCTCCATTTCTAATATTTTAATTTGTTTTATCAGAATCGCCGGACTGATTAAATGTGTCTTTATTTGCTTTTAAAATCACGGTCTTAAATATTTTATAAATACAAATATTTAGCTAATATTGATCAGACTGAAAATCTGACAAACTTGGATGATAAAATTTACACCAGTGGGTTAATTTGGTAGGTAGTTTGATCTGATTGGGTTTTACGAAATAAAAAATATTCCTGTTTGTTGCTAATCGTGATGATTTTTCTTTCTAATTTTTTACTCCGCCATCTTTCCTCCTCCGTTTTCAGGGAGTGGGCAGATCCAGCTGTGGCAGTTCCTGCTGGAGCTCCTCGCCGACAGCACCAACGTGTCGTGCATCGCCTGGGAGGGCACCAACGGAGAGTTCAAGCTCATCGACCCGGACGAGGTGGCACGGCGCTGGGGAGAGCGCAAAAGCAAACCCAACATGAACTACGACAAGCTGAGCAGGGCGCTGCGCTACTACTACGACAAAAACATCATGACCAAAGTGCACGGCAAGCGATATGCGTACAAGTTTGACTTTCATGGCTTGGCGCAGGTGTGCCAGCCGTCCACCACGGAGCAGGCCATCTACAAGTTTCAGGGGAACTTCTCCCCGATTCCTTTTTCCGGGATTTCCAAACTGAACCTCGTGACCCCCGCCGTGGGGCCCTCGGGTTTCTCCTATTGGGCCGGCTCCCCTCCTGCGGCTCTATATCACAGCCACAATCTGCAACCTCCGGGGCCCTTTGGCACCGTGTCTCCGTCCCACATCAGCTGCGTCAACAACATTAACTCTCTGAGCAACATCAGTAACCATTACAACTGACTCCTACACAATTAGATCACGTACGAACTACGGATGATACAGAAAGGTGCAGAAAGGTCGGTTTGGAGATAAAACAGTCAGATATTTGTTTGCGTCTCGATTTGATCACATTTATGATATGAGTACCCTCCTCCCAACGATGACACTTACACATAATAACACGTATGCCACATATTGTCTTAAATAAGAAAGAAAAATGTTTTTTGATTTTTCTTTATTTTCATGCTTCACAAACGGACCGGCGTGCTGTGAGATATATGAGATTACACTGGTGATCGGTATCAGAAAAGATGTGTTAACAACATAAATAATAAAAATGAACACCTGCACTCAGTTTTAATTCAGTTTTCCACGAAAAGACTTCCAGAAGAGTCGTTTGCGATTTTACGCACAATGGATCGAACATTACGCACGGAATTTCTACAACAAAAGTAAACAAACATCAACAGTTCTCTATTTCATCAGCACAGTGAGTGACCAAATAAATAAACCTATTTAGATTTTTTTCTCCGTAAAAAGCTGCTTATTGGAGGTGGATATACACTAGATACAATTTAAAATGTGCCGTAAACAAAATAATAATGTACTTGTTGTAAATTATAATTATTGATGTTTTTATATTTTTCTGTTCCTTTGCTGTTTCTGTTTGTCCTCTACTCAGACCCAACTCGGTGCCGTCTTTTTTAACTTTGGAAGAAACGATCAAACCATCAGTGGGCTACTGGCGCCACCTTGTGGTTCCCACAATTATTTTTGCTCATGGAATGAAATAGAAATGAGTTATTTAGATCAGAGTTCAATTACGTTAAATTAAGATAAGTGTATTTGTGTGAATATTGAATGAAACCTAATTAAATTGCTTTAGTTACATGACACCATACTGTGACATCATTAATTGTTTTAATTAAAGCACAAAAGTAAAACAATCATACATTGTAATGGATGCTTTCTAATTTTGGTTTATATTCTTTTTATTTTTAAAAATACTGAATATTTCCAGTTTTTGTTTGGGTCCATTACAGAAAAACAAACAAATAATGAAAAGAAAAAGTCAAAAATATGTATTAAATGTATTTTCCATTATTAACTATTTGACTTTGGGGTCAACTCCGCAGGGTGGCTGCTCTCCCTTTGAGATAGGGCGGGAAGCTCGATAGGGAGGGGCTCTGAGTAAACCTCCACATCGAGAGGAGTCAGTTGAGGTGTCTTGGGCATCTGATTGGTGCCTTCTGGAGGCCTCCCTGGTGAGGTTTTCTGGGCATGTCCAACCGGGAGGAGACCTAAAGGGAGACCCAGGACACGCTGGAGGGACTAGGCCTCTCACCTGGCCAGGGAACGCCTCGGGATTCCCCCGGAAGAGCTGGCCCAAACGGCTGGGGAGAGGGAAGTCTGGGCTTCTCGACTTAGGCTGCTGCTCCGCGACCCAACTCCGAATAAGCTGAAGAGAATGGCTGGATGAATGGATGGATGAATATGTGGTTAAACATGAAAACAAGCAGTTTTCTTTATGACCTGAATTATTTGGATTTTTAAGCATGTTTTCTTGGATCAGATCAGAGACATCTGGGGTTGCATGTCCTGATCATTGCTGCTTTTGTAGGTCTGAAGCTGAAAAGTTTGGGATCGGCTGTTGTTACATCTTCTCTGAGAGAATCTCAGTAAAACACTCTGGTTTCCTCAAGGCAACATCATTATTTGGCCCAAAAATATAGTGTTCATAATGTAAATATGCTTTATCAACCATATCTGTTACGTTTAGGTTGTTTGAATTTTATTTCAATTTTGTTTCTAGGTTGTTTCCCTCTTTCCTATTCGCTCCCCCCTTCCTTACATTTTTCATTACATTTTTTTCACTTTAAACACAGTTTTAATCATTTATTGAAATCTTCTTATACTTACCTTTTTTGTTTTTGTGAAGCACCTTGTGATTTTATCTGGAGGTGCTATATAAAAGATCTTTTTCTCTCTCTTTCTCTCTTTCTTTCTTTCTTTCTTTCTTTCTTTCTTTCTTTCTTTCTTTCTTTCTTTCTTTCTTTCTTTCTTTCTTTCTTTCTTTCTTTCTTTCTTTCTTTCTTTCTTTCTTTCTTTCTTTCTTTCTTTCTTTCTGTTTAAAAGTGCTTTTCAGTCCATTGGTCCCAGCGTGCTCTCCATAATCAATGCTTCTCTGGTTTCTGGTCAGGTCCCTGCTTACTTTAAGAACGCTGTAATCCACCCGCTTCTTAAAAAACAGAGTCTTGACCCTCTCTCCATAGCAGCTTCAGACCCATCTCTAAACTTCCGTTCATCTCCAAGCTCTTGGAAAAGGTTGTGGCTAAACAACTCACAGCTGCTCTTGGTGACCATAACATCTATGATAGCTTCCAGTCAGGTTTTCATAGAGCTCATTCTACTGAAACAGCTCTTCTTAGGGTCTCTAATGACCTTCTGACTCACAGTGATGCAGGGGACTGTTCTGTTCTGGTCCTGCTGGACCTGACTGCAGCCTTTGACACTGTTGACCATCACCTGCTACTGGAGAGGCTGAGAGACTGGGTCGGCCTATCAGGATCTGCTCTGGAGTGGTTCTCCTCTTATCTTTCTGAGCGTTCCTTTTCTGTGGCTGTCTCCAAGTTTAGGTCCTCCACCACCTCTCTTACCCATGGTGTCCCACAAGGTTCTGTGCTGGAGCCTCTGCTCTTCCTCCTATATCTGCTTCCTCTTCAGCACATCCTGAGCTCCTTCAAAGGAATCTCCTACCATCTTTATGCAGATGACATCCAACTGTACATCTCCTTTAAGCCCCATGAGATGTCTAAAGCCGGGCGTACACTGTGCGACTTTTTCACTTTTTTGAGCCGATTTTCCAGTCGTGCGAGAAGCCACGACATCGGGGCGAGTTTTGCGCCGAGCGGTCGTGTAGTGTACAGGGAGTTACGAGAGGCGATTAACACCACGTGACCAGCCGCCGATCAGCAGTCGTGAGGTCGCACGGACTTCTGGTGTGTTTAATATTTCGCTCGTCCCTCGTGAGGGTATCGCACTGTTGAAGCGGCGCTGCGAGCAGCTGCGACCCAAAAAGTATCAGAACCGCTCACGGCGCATGCGCAATCCTGCATCAACGCCGCTCGCTCGCTATTTCCCTAATAACACATGCTGTTCGTTTTTGTTTCTACACGTTTTTTTTCCTCACAAAGATTGTCAAGAAAGCGTGTTTGTCGTGTTCATGTCAAATTAAACTGATCACAAAACACAGATTTACTGTCTTTATTTCGTTTTCCTCATCCAACCCCCATAAATCCCTGTGTGTCCTCCTGCAGCGCTCCCGAAGGACAACAGGCAAGACAAGACAAAAAAGTCTGACGTGTTGAGTAAAAACTGCTATTGTTAGCACATTTTTTGGGCCGACGTGTTGCTACCAGGCGTACAGTGTGAGCAGTCAGGTCGCATACGAGAACTGGGTCGTGCAGTGTGAGCACATGACTCGTGAGATCTGCTCTGCGAGGAAGTCGTACAGTTTGAGCTGAACCTGAGTGCTGCGAGTGAAAAAGTCGCACAGTGTACGCCCGGCTTAAGCTGCAGCTGTTACACACCTGCTTAGACTCTATCAAAACCTGGATGGCTGGGTGCTTTCTTCAGCTGAATGAAGATAAGACTGAGATCCTCGTCTGTGCCCCAGACAAGCTGGTTCCCAAAGTCAGAGACTCTCTTGGTCAGCTTGCTTCTCACACCAAACCTTCTGTCAGGAATCTTGGTGCGACCTTTGACTCAGCTCTCACCCTGGATTCTCATGTCAGTTCTCTTGTTCGCTCTTCCTTCTTCCATCTCAGGAACATTGCTAAGCTGAGTCCCATTCTGTCCTGCTCTGAAATTGAGACAGTTCTCCACACCTTCATCTCCTCATGCTTAGACTACTGCAACTCTCTTTTCACGTGTCTGAGCAGAACCTCCCTGAACCGTCTACAGGTGGTTCAGAACGCCTGTGCTCGGCTTCTGACCAAGTCCTCCAAACACACCCACATCACCCCGCTTCTCCTCCAGCTTCATTGGCTGCCAGTCAACTTCAGGGTTCATTTCAAGATCCTGGTTCTGGTCTATAGGGCCTTACATGGACAAGCACCATCTTACATTGGTGATCTTCTTAGTCCCTACACCCCCAGCAGGTCCCTGAGGTCCAGTGATCAAAGCCTACTGGTTGTGCAGCACCAGGCTAAAGGTCAAAGGTGACAGATCATTTGCTGCTGTGGCCCCCAGACTCTGGAACTCTCTCCCCCTGAGCCTGAGATCAGTGGACTCAGTGGTCTCCTTTAAAAAGCAGCTGAAGACTCACTTGTTCAAGCTGGCTTTTGTATGACCTTCTTCAACCCCTCTCTCTTTATTCTGCTCTCCCCACCTATTCCACCTTCTTCAGGATCCACTGATTTCCCTCTTTCCTATTCACTCTCTCTCTTTCTTAATATCTTTTTAATCACAATTGTCTATTTTTGCTCATTTTAAATATATTTTTTAAACATTTTCTAAATCCTTTTTTATAATTTTACATGTTTTGTTTTTATGAAGCGCCTCGTGATTTCTATCTTGAGAGGTGCTATAGAAATGATATTTTCTTCTTCTTCTTTCTATGTCTCTGTCTGTCTGTCTTTCTTTCTTTATGCAATAATTAATTTTAACTAGGCAACTATGATAGGCAACGTTGTCATTGTAAATTACCTGACCCAGCGGCAGCGTATAAGGATTGAAGAGCAGTGGTCCAAAGATTGAGCCTTGGGGGACCCCACATGCCAGTTATCTGCTTTGATTTGTGATCGCCAATAGAAATGATATAACCCCTGTCTTTGAGATATTAGGAACCAATATGAAGGGTGTCTGACTTTTTATGAAACATAATTTTACCACATCAATTATTTTCATCAAGGATGTTTAATTAAAACAGCTTCTCACAGCTTCAGGAGGTGCTAAACTGCATGCTGCCTGTAGAAATGCATGTCTGCAGACTCACACCAATTAGACAAGTTAATTAAAGTTACAATTTCTATTTTACACCAAGCAGACATTGCTAGTTGTTGCTGCTTCTAAAAATTAGACGTCTGCAAAAAGGTCTCAAATTGTGACAGGAGCTCTTGTCAGCCACGTGGGGGCGCAATAACTCCTCTGACACCACAACACTGTTTACATAAGTGGGTGATGGAAGGGCTGGTTTTAAACAGAAAGCAGAGGCAAGCAGCAGATTAACCCCTCACCTCATTTCAAGACCACAAAAGATGAAAATACATCGACTTAAATCAAAATTTAATGTGTTGAAAATTCTCACGAGTTTAAAGGAATATATAGATCTAAGCATATCTAAAGATATATATTTATATGCACAGTAATAACTTATTGTTGAGAGAGAGAGTCACTCATTTGTTCACATGTGTGCCTTGCATGTTAAGACATCAGACCAGGGTCGAACGAACACACACACACACACACTTTTCACACTGCAGTTTGTGCTTCCGAGTGGAAACTCCAGAGGGATTTGTGCACTTCCATGACACTGCAGTCGTCACTTTCCTCCCTGACACTAATCTGATCCTCATCCCCTCGCTTCTTGCATAACAAAACTAGGTGGGTGTTTTCCTGCAGGGCCACAGGATTAACTGTAGAAGAGAGATGAAGAAAATGACAACACACAGAGGATGAGGAGAATATTTCCATTTTTTATTGTCACAGGGTACACACGGCAACAATGTTCAAATTTAAACACTTTAGCACATTGTCACGTTATGGGGATGGTTAGGACCCAAAAATGCAGATACCCAGGATAACACAAGGCAGGAGTTGATATAAAGAAAAAATCATTTTATTTGTAGGATGAACAAAAATTAAATCCAAAAGCAGCGAGCCAAAAATCCAGAATCAGAAGAACAAAAGCTCACCTAGAGCACAAAACTGGGACGAGACACAAAGCTC